GGCAATGTGTTAAGAAACAAAGGGAACCGCTTATCCGGTGGAAAGAGATCTTGGGCGCGAGTAGGGAATCGAGTAAAGCCAGTCCCTTCGACGCAGGTAGCCCTGCGTTTCGAACGGGCGTCGCGACGCGGAGAAAGGAGAAAGAGAGATCCCGGTCGGTCGGTGCTCGGGGTGGCTGGTTGCCTAATTGAAAGAGGTTTTCCGTGGGCGAGGGTAGACATCAGAGCGAACGAAGCGTTTCCAAGGAAACCCGGCGGCGGGCTCTCGCGTGGAGAGGGAGTCAGGCACCAATGGGGCTGCTAGGGAAAGGCGCCGGCGCCCAGCGTCGCTATAGTATCGAGCGTCGCTATCAAAGATTTCTTGACTCGCCATGGCGGACTCCCGTTGCTGAATATTTTCAGGAGGGCAGTGCCACCCCCGCTTGCTTGTTTCAGACGATGCCGCGCGCACACGTGGTTCAGCCGCGTCGTGCATTCACTCTGTGTTTCACTGAGAACTGGGAGGGACGCGACCAGGGCGGGGGGACGCATCGCTCACCATCGGTTCTTTCCACCGAATAGTACATTTTTTATTTGGAAAGTTCGAGTACTCGATGTTTGAGAAATTCTTCGTTGCTTACGGTATATTAACGCATCGGCGTCGAACGAGGTATATTTACGTCAATTTTTAACGTATCGATCTTAAAATACATTCAGAAAACGTTGTAGATGAATCAAGCTTTCTTTAAAAACGCTATAACGAATAGACTGCGATATTTATGCATTAATAGGAAATTTGAATTTTCGAAACACTACAGAATGCACTTGATGTGCGAAAATATGAGAAATAGTTAAGGTAGGATACGAATTATTATGTTTAGGGGTTGCGACAACCATCTACAAAGATGATTTTGATGGTTGTATATACTAGGTCGCTCCATAAGTTCGTATCGAGTTTTGTACTAGAAATACAATTTCTTATCAATTCGTTTGCACAGTGAAATTTATTCACACCTTTTCAATATTATTAATAATTTGCAATAGTTTGCGTTGGAGTAAATACTGTATTTTGAGGGAGGATTTCACCCTTTCGACAAGGACACTTTTGTTGAGATGACCATACATCGACAGGTCGAAAATAACACCTCTGCAACACGTTTGCCTCGCTCGTAAGTGCTTTCCCATGTCTAAATCATAGAAATCTTATTTATAATATTTATATAAAAATCCTTCGAATAGCGGAAGAGTTTCTAAAGGGGCGAATGTTTCTAGAAGACACTCTATCAGAAATTGCTGGACACGGAGATGATAGAAGTGAAAATTCTGACACTATTTGACGTAGAGTGTGTGCAACGTGTTTGCTTTCATCGTTGTCATCGAGCGAAACCGAAATAGAAATGGATGAAAAAGAAGAATTTGATCCAATACGAAATAATAAACAATTTGAAGAAGTTGCTGGACTAAAAGTATTCCCAGATGATCCTCAAACTGTTCCGGTGTGACATTTCTATTGGAGATGAGTTATTCGAATATTGTTCGCGAATCTAATCATTGTATAAAAATCCTATTCACATGGATTTAAGTGGGTCGATGTCACAGTTCCAGAAATAAATAAAGTCTCTTCTAATAGTTATGGGACTTGTTGAGAAAAATAAGATACCGACTGGTTCACAAATCCATTTTTTGGCAAAACTATGAGTTTTAAAAACAAGGAATTGAACCACTTTTATGGGGGGTTTCTCACTTTTCGGAGATAAGGACCAATCTTTCGAACGTTCTTAAAATTTCTAAAAATTCTTCGCCAAATTACGCGTCGTTTGCCTTTTGAAACATTAAAATTCTCCAATCCGTTCAGAAGTTATGATTTTTTAAACATTCGCATGAAATTTCAGGGGAATGAATCAATATATGGTCAGACATTGTATTTTCGGTAGGGAATTTTTTTCTCGAAACTGTGTAGCATTTCGGGGGTACGTCTATTCACCAAAAATGATTGTAATTGACCCTTCCAACTGAAAATAATTTTTTTAGAATGATTCGAAAATTTTTCCATATACCTCCTGTCGATTTTTCTTAAAAATTCGGTTTTGATTTTTAATACACACAACCGAGTGCCGTATAATCGGAATTCTACTGTATGTTTACAATTTTTTCCAAAGTAACGAGAAAGATAAGATGCAGGAAACGCGGTTCAAAACTTCTCAAGGCGGCAACGCGTTAATAATCGCGATTCTACGAATTTTTTTTACCAGACTCTTAGCTCTGTAAAAGTCACGTTGAAAAGCTGTTGAGCGTTCGATACAGAAACGATCAAAGACGTTTCGCGGGTTACCGTCGAGGAAATAATAATTCATGTGATAGAATGGACTCCAAACGAGAGGGATGAAACTTTGATCGTTTGGAGAGCGTGGAAACTTTATCGGGCGATAAAAATTCGCTCGACGGATTTCCACGCGATCTGTCTGTGGATTTAATAGAAATTGTGTCTACATCTGGGAATCTAATGTATCCGTGGGATATACCGGGGATATTTGAAGCGGCGGGACAGCGAAGAAAGGGGCGAGTCCGCGCGAAGAAATAAATTGAAAATCTAGAGTGAAATGTTTCCGAACGAGGATTCGTTTCAGGATAAATCGATGTTTGAAATCAGATGAGAACAGAAGAATTATGCCAGATCAAGTATAAAACGAGCGAAAATATTCGAAGAATTAAATTTAGTGACGTCGTTTCTAGTTACTAGGTAGTGTCGTCACTTCCAGTTTGCTGTATTCTCTCAGCGTAACCTACAATTTCTAGAATTGCGAGGAGAAATTAGTTTCGCTTTTAATCTCGGATGATAATTACCGAAAATTTGTTTTGTGCTCGCTTCACCGTCACTACCGTTTCAGATCTTTTATTCTAAAGCAAAATGATTTACTCTTGCGATAAAATTTTAGTTTATATTATAAAATTTAGTAATTAAGAAAAACGTGATGCATCGTAATTTCTGTTCGTTTCTTGAAAATTATTATACAGCTTACAATATCTCCATTATTTACTTCAAAGTAACTTGCAAAGGAATTCACATTTCACCAAGTCATAATATTTTAAAGCTGTTCAAGCGTGTAAAACAGAGAAGGAATACAAAATAATTAGAAAGCAGTGATCATAAAATAATTTCACAAATAAATAAATTTGTTTTATTTAAAAAACTATATACGACTCGGTCCATTTTCATAATAGGTGACCCAACAATACCAGTTTCAGTCGATTAAATCGGTAAATATTAGACGAGATTGGCACACGTTGGAAAAGTCGGTGAATTTTCGCATAATTAGCATACGAGATTCTGTAAAAGCTTGAAGCATATGGCGGCTGCACGTGTGTGTCGACACGGGGAAGAAGACGAGCGAAACTGTTTGATATGCAACGCGACGCCTGGCTTGACTGACGCTTCCAAGTTGCGAATAAAATTTTCATGAATTTCTATTAGCTTCGTTTTTCTAGACGTGCCCCGGAGACTTAAAAAAGCTCCGGCTGACGGCTGAGGGGAACGCGCGAACCAACCCGTCGGCTAAGACCGAGTATCGGCTTTATCAATTTCCACTTTAAAGCGCGGCCAACTTTTCATCTTTAACAACGTTCGGAACGTCGATCATTCCTGGATTCGACGCCAAAAGACGCGATTCTCGATTCCTCTGTTATCGTGTTGCAATTAGAAAATTAACGAATTCGTATTATATTTCCCTTCCACCGAATTCCGTATCTCTCCGCGGGGCGAACAACAGTTTTTACTAAGCGCGAGAGGATATTAAATGCGACTGAAATAAATTATTCATTTGACTAAATTGGTATTTACTCGTTGGACGAAAGGTCGAGGAACTTTAGAAAATATATTCGGCGTTGTCTGGGTATTCTCCATCGTTCACAAGCAAAGATTCATAGATTTCAATGTCTACGATAGAGAAAGTGCGATAATTCAATATTTAACAGCGATATACGTAATATCTACCACGACTCGATTTTAGGTTCATATATAGTAACCTGATTAACGAAACAAATGAAGAAATTTTAAATCGCAAACATTTATAGATTTCTCTGGGGAAAAGGACGAGTTTAATATTCTTTAAAATAGCGTCACAGTATTGCATTCAAGTAACCAGTTATTTCTATTAATATTCAAGACTATACACACGATTTAGTTGATATCATAGTAATAAAGAATCAATATACTGTAATACTAACAGAATTGTATCTATTTGATTCATTAATACTAATGATTTTACTCTTAATTTAATATTATTGAAACGTTAGCCAAAATGTTTTGCTCCGATTTCTCGACTTTGGCCCTACTTGACTTTTCGTTAAGAATTTTAATGGACAAGGTGATCAAAGCTATCTTTGGTCCCTGTAGAATCGAACTGTATGAATTTCTATAATTATTTCGCGAATTAAAGGACATTGTACGGTCATCCGACGACGATCTTTGAATACGCGACGTTGGCAGAGGTGGGGAAAGATTCCGGAAAGTTTTGCGGTTACCTCGTAGCAAACTGGAGTCCACCAAAATTCGAGACCCCGTAGGGTGACGGCTTAGTGCTACTCCAAGTTTCGCTTTAATCCGAAAAGCCACGGTAGGCCGGTGAAATTGATTTCGAGACACTCGCGGGAGCATCTAGTTACGTTTATTAATCCCCCATTGCACGAATTCAAGTTTTTCAAACTCACTGAAGAATTTGTTTCTTGGCCTATAGATGGTCTATAAAAAAAAACCACTTTTTAAAGCTGCAAATAAAAAGATTGTTTCCTATGAAGAATCACGAGTAGATGAAATCAAAAGATTAAAATTTTTTATTCTAAAAGCGTGGAGTGTCACAAAAGTGAATCGACGCCATAGAAGATTTGTTTAGTTCCGTTTCATTAAGGGTTGTTTTATGTATTGTGTATAGTATATGGAAAGTCAAATTGAAATTGTTAGTTTAACGTCTACAAAAAGATTTAGAAAGCTGATTCTAGAGTACAAATTTCTTTGACGACACTTACCTGAACTCGACTTTCTGTGAGACCGATTTTCACAGCGATCTCCTCCCTGAGAAAAATGTCTGGGTAGTGCGTTCTATTGAAACACCTCTCGAGCTCGTTTAATTGGCCTGGCGTGAACCTTGTCCGATGTCGTTTCTGCTTTACAGGCTTGTCATCGCCTGGTCCGAGCCCCGTTGCGTTTCCTGGAACGCGAGTGGTGAATCTTTAATCCTCCGTTTCACGGAATCCATTTGTCTAATTAAGGGGCTTTCCTCGTGTCTCGAATCGGAAACGGGCAATATTTAGAATTTTCTTGCAGAAAAGTACGCTACATATCAAACTGAAAATATTCCCCCTAACTAGTATACTTATGAAGACGCAGCACAAATTTTTTCACGCGATTTACTTTATTAATAATACTCCGACGCTGTAGCAAAAAACTAATCGTAATTGGTTAACGCAACTTCTTATTTTCGTGCGAACTAGAAGAAATTGAAAAACATGGTAGAACTTTGAAGAGATGAAATACATTTTGATACAAGCTTTAAACCTTCGTTTGCATTACAAAAAAAATACTTAGTATATTGAAATAATAAACTTTCTTTTTATTCAAATTTACCAAATTTGTATTCCCGCTATCGTTGTACCATAGTTCTCGAATCAAATCCAGCACCGGCGGAAATTTCGAAATTCGTCCCGACAATGGCGATTGCGGAACGGAGAAAAAAAGACGCGGGAAAATATGAACACGGTAAAACGCTTACCAGCGCCAGGCATGGTCATGATTAATTCTTGATGAATCGTGAGGCCACCGCTGGCGGACAACCCGGTCCCCAAATTCACTCCCAGCACGCCGTCCAACTTCTCGTGCCTCTTCAGGTCCTGCGCATGAAGATCCTTCGTTCCTGCGAACGCGAAACGCGAAGAAAAAAATACGAGCCATTACAGTTTCCTCTTCCTTCTGTCTTTCTCGCTTTTTCGTTTCTTTTTTATTTTTTAAAAATTCCGTCTCCGCCCCCCCCCCCCCTCCTCCCCCTCGGGTCTTGCTCGCTCCCTTTCGCTGCTCTATGTAGTTTAAATTTGTATAGGAGCAGAAGCTGGCCGACCGTCGGCGAGGGGGGCGCGGACCACTTAGCACGAAGGTGCGAGAATCGTCACCGGCCTCCGGCTTCTAGGTGAGCAAACACACGCACGAACGGGGCCCGTCTCGTTGCAGGCACGAACACACGCGTTGCTTGGCCACGGTGGTCGTTGAAAATTTCTCGAGCGTGTGGGAGGCACCGCTGAAACACGCCTGAACGACCACGGGCCCCGTGTATCCGTGGCTGTGATCGCGGCGGCCATCGCGCGTCGTCGAACACGCTTACGCAACCGGGTAAACTAGTTCCAGGCCTGGAGACGGTCTAGGACAGGGGTGGCGAACCTTTTTACGATCGTGCGCCAAAATATTAATGGAACGAGCAAACTGACAGGACGAAATTAGACTCGTCTTGTAACGAGCTCGTGACATTACGATTGTCCCTCGCTAACGTTCGCCACTCTTTCCCTCGATATCGTTCGCGGAGTCGTTCCCCACCAATTCCTGGAACTGCATCGACGAGGTGAACCTTGCCAGCTTTGACCATTCATTGTTCGCGCATGAGACTAACCGTACTTCCCCAAAAACGTTAAAAACAAAGTTTAAAATACGCAAAAGATTGATGGAGGATTGTTGGTGAACTAAAAATTATGTTCGAAGGAATCGATGGACCACGAATTTGATATAAGAATCGTAACGATTTCCATGGACAACCGATTTCTCGGACGCTGTTAATTAGGTTTTGAGCCATGCGTCAAGCGTTATGCAGTTAAAACACGTTGGAACGATAATATATTAACAGCAAGAAATTTTATTGGTTTCATAAATACGACTACCGAACTCGGCAGTTTTGCATCGATATTTTATAATCCGCCCCATTAACTGTGATACATTTCCTGGCGTTTCCAAAATGTTTAATGCAACCACACATGCATAATAACGTTTACAGTCTGGAATTTCAATGGCGGCCGATTGTCCCGGAAATAGTTACACAATTTTCAGTCGCATATTTCCTAGCAGACCGAACGCACGTTGACTTCTGCTATAAGTTATGCAAACACGAATGCAAAATCCGTCCATTTTTATCGGTCCGATATTTCGACCTGCGCTTGCAAGCGTTAATGCAATTTGTATATTTCATGAATATCGACTGGAACACACGCTGTGTGTTTATGTAAATTGTTGTCGTCCGTTTAAGTCAGTGTTTCCCAAACTATGGTTCGTAGATCTTTCGGAGTTCAAAGCTTTAAAAACAAAATTGTCAGAGACAGGCAAATGTTACAATACTTTTACTATAGCGTGCGTTATTAATATGGTTCGAATATGCAATCAATTAAATTTCATTTCATTTTTACTCTTTTAAACATGTTTCCATATTTGACGATATTCTTCGACATGTTTTTAGACTCTTTAAAATATGTACAAAGAAAGAATACGTATCAAGGAAATCAAAATATTATTCTAGAAGAAATAACCATGAATGACTGACTCATTTAGCACACTTTCGATTGCTAATTTTATGGAAAAATGTCTCGTTAGTTATATGTTAGGGAGTTATATATTGGTATTAATAAAAGCTTCTAATGAAAAGTACAAGATAAACGAGAATGTTTATTCGTTATTCGTTAAATAAAAATAGAAATTCATGAATCGATCGAATAAATTGTTATTGTTTGTCATCTGTTGTTCGAATAAAATTTTGCCTGTCTCTGATAAGTAGGTAGTAAGAGCAGAAATATCTATAATATATTATAGAGAAAACTAAAAAGCTAGTGGCCATCTGTCAGTGTCTATTTGGTTCCGTTATGAAGTTGATTAATTTCTAGTTTATCTTTCAGTCCGCATACGACAACATCTGCGTGCTAACAATGTGACAACTTCATCATTTTTCGACGTGTACGAATATACTTTATTTCCTGTTGTATCAGTGTATTATTTTTTGAAACTCCAACCTCATTTATTTATTATATTCGTTTAATATAAAAATAAATGTATTAAATGAGCCAATTAATAAGATTTAGGTTTTATTAAATGCAATTTAACTGTATTAATTAATAGATGTAATGCTTTTCTGCTACAATTTACAGTAGTTGTTTTAGATTAGTCCAAAGCTAGTAGAAACGTTAAATACGAGCTTGTATCCAAGCTTCTCTGTTGTTTTAGATCCGTGAGCACCTTTTTTCGAGTTGAGAGTTGCTATTTTTTTATTTGGAGCATCTCTCAATGTCAAGAAAGAATATAAAGGTGTGTCAGATTTCACGCGGCTGTCGAGTTACAGTCATTTTTATATTCCAATTATGTGCAGTTAACTTCACAGGAAGTGCACGAAATGGCTACCTTTGGCCCAAATGCAAGTCTGGAGATGTCACGTCATAAAGTTTTTCAATCATTCAAATGTTCCAGGCATTTTTGTCGAATTAGCTAGCAGCCTCCTTGTACACGTCGCCTAAGTATTTTCATACAGACAATTGGTGTTGAATAAAGAAACGTTTTTTAGACGCTCCATGAATAGAAATTCGGTAGATTTAAATCAGCGAAACGGACCATGCAATATCCTACGTGTTCGTCCGTTAGAAAGTTGTTTGCTCAAGAAATGTATGACATGTATTTGGCTGAAATGTGACTGTGCATCGACACGCACAAATCACATGTGACTTGCAACGTGTGATGGAGCTCCTTCCAAGAATTCATATAATTGGTTGCTCAAGAAATTGACGCAACATTGACTCGTTAATCTCCCATTATGGAAAACAAAGAGTCCCCTGTTGTATACAAACAGTTTAGTAAACTTAATTGTGCGTGCTCGTTTTCTCGTGGAGGACTATCATACGTTTTATTCGTAGCTGTCACTTAATAAATTAGGCTTTCGAAACATTCCCCGAGAGAACCAACAGAATTGATATTAACAATTTAAGAGCGTCACGTGTTTAGATTACTTTCATTCTTGATTAAGCCTCGTCCGAAATCGAATTTTTCGCTTCGAAAATTCAATGCGTTCGTTATAATATAAATAAAATCTTTTATCCGATGCTATTTCGAGCGTAGTTATTTTCAAGTTGGCGAACAATAGCATTCGATGGGGAAAAGATCGGTGGAAGTATACGATAGGAAAGCCGATGAAGCTTCGAAAGCCGACTGATCGCGATAACACGTCGTAATTGATCGGTGAATAATGGATGACGTGGACTGGAAGTTAAATTAATTAACGAAATAAAAGGATCGTTGAGAGCATCGAGACTTGACGTTCGGGTCGACCTTTCTTTAAAGAAAACGCCACTGTGCGGTCCCCGACCACCGTGCAGCGGGCAAGTTTACTCAATGGAGGCTCCGTATGAATGAACTTTATGACTGGTCTTTATTTCCGTTTTACTTTTATGGCTCTTGATGATTTTATTTCGATTTTACCGGGGAGACCCGGTATTTATGAGCATCCTCGCTCTCGTCCGAAATTCGGTAGGTTCCTTTGATCTCTTCGTTGCGTGTTTTTGTTTCTGCTCGACGGAGGAAACGCTCGGCCAGACGCGTAAATCGGACAGAGACGGCCGCGAGTGAATATTAGATTCTTCCATAAATTTTACAATAACTTTTAACCCGTGACTGCAAAACTCCGGACGAAAAAAAAAAAGATATATATAATAGGAATGCGGGAAATTGAATTGTCGCTGCGCGAGCAACGCCGCGATCCGTGTAATTTAATTCGTCTCGATTGAAATCAATCTGTCGGGGAAAATGCGAATTTTATTTGAAGAACGCGACTAACAGCCAACTATTTGTCCTTTGAGGTTCACTACGCGCAAACATGCAACGTATCCGCGTTGATGTTCTCGAATTTAAAATAAAAATGCCGAGCGCGCGCGGGAATTTAATTCGCTTAATTGCACGGCGTTCGACGGAACATTTATAAACAATGCGAGCACGCCGTTCTGCTCGCGTAAGGATTACCGCCGCGGTCTCTTCTGTGTTTGTTTCGCGGTGTTTTGCCCCTTATTAGCCCAGAGAATGATTGTTTAATCCTATTCCGGCTGATCGGATTATCGGATCCTTTAATCGAATTAAAATGATAAGGACCGAGGCTGCACGGGGCACGTAACGTCGCCGATTATTTTCTTTGTCCTTCTTTCGATCCTACTGCAAACTTTAAGAACGTTTTTAAATTGTGTCGTTCAAGTCTTTGAATAAATATTATTTAAAATTAATTGCGATCATTTTCATTTCGACAGATTTGGAGGTTCGTTTAGACATAAAAGAATCGATTTCTGTATCAATTGCATTTTATAAAATTTTTGGTGAAATCCTCAGGATATTATAGCTTGGAGACCAGAAACAGTTATAGTAGATTAGTTAAACTAACATTTCATTATTTTTATTTTCTACAAGCATGAGATGTTAAAATTGCCTTCGTATAATTTTACGAGAAATTGAAAGATTTCTAAAGGTTACAGGTTCTTGAAAAAATACTAATTTAAAACAGTTTGCCCCATTCGATATTCGAAATCTTAAACACCCGTTCTAATAATAGTATCCGAATACCTGTAAAATAGTCGAATATTGAATTATTCGAATGACCGCAGCCCTAGTTTAATGTCGCGCCGACGAAAATGATTTTAATAACGACACTCACGGTATGCATTGACGGGCGTTTAAAAAGTTCATGATTGACGGGGCCGCCCGCTCGAAAACGTCTGATTAATAAAATCATAAATCACATTACGATTCGGAAACGCCGTGACGGACGCGTTCATTCGCGTTGCGAGTCCGATCGGTGCATTGTCCCACGATGTTGTCAGTGCATCGACGTTGCACCAAATGCAATTAGTCCGCGTAATGAAATTACTCCGATCGCCGTCGGTGTTACTTCGTCGAGAGCCGCGCATTTGCAACAATTATCGTAATCTATGTTTCGTTGACTCGAAGATACGAAAAGAGCCATCGCGAGTGTCGGGACTGGGTGAATATTTTTGGGCAGCTCTAATCATTTACTCATATTTTTAATTAAAAAAGAAGTTGGAAATTGTATTAAAAATTTAAGAATATTTGAAGGGTAGAGAATTCGAAATCCATAAAAATCGAGGGTTAATCGGTCCTTTAATCGGCTCCGTGCGTCGCGCTACGCTCAGTTTCCACCACTGGCAACATCCCAACTCTAAATCGTTCCTTAACTTCTCGCCTAATGTAATCAGTGTTGAGGTAATTAAGGTCATCAAACTCGAGAAGCGGTTTCCTTGAGCGAGAGAGAAGCGGACGGTCTCGACACCACGTGTTATCGGTGCAAACTTTTTTCTTTTGTACAAACTTTTCCCTTTTTGTTTCGCGAGCATTCGACTTCCACTGGAAAACTAAACAAATATTCATGCTTGATACGCATAGCATATGATTTCCGTAAAATTTTTAACCGTAAGTAGATAGGAATTCTGTGCACCTTTTGAAATCGAAGTCATTGGCGACTGTTTGATCGGTAAAATATTAATAAAATATATTCATTTTTAAGTATCATTCAAATTCGGTAGTTGAATACTTTCTGTAAACATTTCGAACACCACATATCCAGCACAACGATTAAAATTAAACTTTAATTACCATTTCGTAAGTTATTTGTTTCTTGAAAAGAATTATCAAATTATGAATGTTGAAATTATTTCTTAAACACGGCAGAACGCGCGCCGACGGTTCGCGTACAACTTGAAATTTTGTGACAAAACTAAATAATGTAATAAATATTTTATTTTAATATTTATATTGTGCATGGTTAATAATTTGACGCATAACATAACAAGCTGAAAATGTTTCGTAAATATAATTGCTTAACCATGAAATATAACCACGAATTAGAATGTCGCTAGCAAAAGCGACAGTCGTGTACGTTTTAACAAATTTTTATGTCGGTATTACATAAATTGTTCTTTCATAATTAACAACATTTTAAACACAGATTACCGCGTTATTTGCGCACTTTCAGCAGCTTCGGGTTACGTTACTCTTGAAATGTTCGCGAAAGAAGATTTTTGCGCGTGAAACGTAAAATAATCGTCGCTTCTGAATATTTAGCGACGACAAATTTTCAATTTTGATGTAAATCGCGAGTAGTCCAAGTAAATAGTTACCTTCTGCCAAGCTGCAATTACGTTTCTTGTTTAAGAAACTTAATTAGCCATTTATGATCGCGTTAACTGACGAATTTAAGAATCGACAAGTGCAACAAATTTTACAAAACCAACACAGCCCCAATTACGTGACTTTTCAAAGGTACGATCTGTCAAATGTAACAATAATTATTCTAATCGTTAACAGAAGTAAGTGCTTGTCTCTAATCAACTTTATCGTTTACCGTCGCTACAAAACGAACGTTCAATGTTTGTGTAAATCATTTAATATTTTCACCAAATAAAAAATATATTTCTCGATCTTCTGGAACTTTGCCCTTACACACATTTGGACGGTGTTTGATAAAAAGACACGGGTTGTTTTCTCAAAAAGTGAATAGTCGGAACGACGAGCAATATTTATATATTTGAGTGGAATATTGTAGAAATAACAAAACAGAGAGGACTGTACAAATCCAGCATCAATCTCTAGCACCAAACTCCATCGATCAACAATGAAAAACGTCTATCACCTCTACTATCCACGTTCAAATCTAATCAAAACCTCGACGTGTTTCGGCGACTAGTAAACAATTCGAGTGACGACTATCGCTTAAATATATCAGTGTTGTATCATAGGAAGGGCAAAAGATATACGAATTCGGATCCAGTCGAATTTAATTTTCTTCATCAGTAGAACATTACGTTTCACAACGTTCTATTTCAAAGTATGTGCCCATTAAATAACTAAACATTTATATGTGAATATTATACAGTTATAACCATGACTAATTGCACAATATTCGACTTTCATTTAAAATTCGGATTCAATTTCTGTTGTCCAAGTTCGTGTGCAATGAATACAATGATTTTCGGCCAATAATGTATAATTGTAACTATGATTAGCCATTGAATATTTGACTGGTCCATTTTTAAAACTTTATTAGTATTTCAAATTCAGATTTAATTTATAACAGCTTCTTCGATCATCACAGAAAAGCTTCCAATACTCGATTTTCAAGCTCGTATAAAATAAAGAATAGAATATTTTTCCAGGAATATTCCACGATTATAATCACAACTGATAACTACATGCTTGATTTGTACTTTTCGATCCTTAATTAGAGTTGTGCAGCCCTAGGTATTAAGAGAAACTTCCAATAGAAAACAAATTAGGTTCTAAAAAATGTTATAGTGTCGTTAATTTTAAGGATCGAAGATTTTGAAAATACTCCGGCTATCTCGATCGACGCACAAGAACGTCCGTCGCTATCAACATCCCCTATTCGTACTCGATTAAAAATTTAATGATCTTCAGCAAACAGTGAATTGTTACAGACATTTCCCTTGTACAAATTGCGGTAAGAACAGTTAAGAAGTATCTGAACAAATTTGTTCTGAAACTTTCTTATCCGACAACCTAGGACGTCTACCAACAATCGCTTTTCAAACCCATATCAAATAAAAATTAGTTCATTTTTCTGTGAATAAGGCACAACAATAGTGACGATTGGATACTTGACTTGTGGTTTATTCAAAGTTTTTGAAGATTTGATCAAAATCAGAACATCTTTCACTAAATAGGGCACAACTATAATCACGATTAACCATTGATTACAATAACGTCCATGGACATTCCTTCATTAGTGTTAGATTAAAAACTCAACGATCTTCAGACTCACACATCCCTTTTATGCAAATCACAATAGAACAGCGAAGGAGGATATATAGAAATTTAGTATTAATTACTTCGGTTGAACACATTTTGATAAGAAACAGCTTCGAACGGAAGGGAATTAGAGATCATCTAAATCAGCGGTCGGCAACCTTTTTTGATCGTGGGTTACATTTAGTAAACAATAACCTTCTAGCAAAATTCGTGGGTCCGGTAGTATTTCATAACGCATTAGCAAAGTTAAAATTAGGAAAGTAACAGCAAACATAAAGGTTTATTAAAAGGATTATTCCTGAATTAAAACTGATAGCAATCTTTCTTCGTTATACTTGATGACTATATTGGTATCTGGATATTTAACTCTGTATTAGGTCATTTGCAAGCGGATTAATCGCAGCTAGAGTCAAACATCACTTCTATAAGCAAGATATATAAATACTAGATGTAAATATAAAGCTAAATTCTGTTCAAGACAAAAGCACCAGTAGTGGACAGGTTAAGGCTCTCGTCTCAGAAAGAAACAACTTCATTTTCTTTACTTATTCGCGTAATCACTGGACAAGTCACAGACCATTATCAATCTAGGTGGTTACGATCATGCAAAAACGCGATAAAGTCATCCAATTCGTTCCTAAACAATTTGTTTCAGCAATTTACACATTAAAAGAAGTTGCAGTAGTAGACACTTTTTGTTCCGAATAGCGAATGCTCGCGAAAAGCGCTAAGAAAGTAGGCAGCAATGCATGTTATTAGAACACTAGTTGAACGATACCAGAATAAGAAGAAGAAGCTACCGTTTCTTTCCGTCGTGCACTTTCCCCAGCAACGTTACAACCCGCCAAGCTTGTACATCGTGAAAATGAACCACCGTCGTGACCAGAAACTTCTACGATTTTCCAAAAACTGTTCACTACTGTCGCACTGTCGGCTACTGGTGCAATTACCTTCTACGTTAGTTATCACTGTCATCGCGTTCGTTGTTCTCCATGGCTCTTTTTCGAACGAGAGTATACAGTCGTTGCGGCGTCGTTGGTGACAGGTTGCCGACCACCGATCGAAATCTTGCGAGGCGATCGTTCTCGGATCGTACGGCCGATACTTACCGGAAATACCGTGTATGGAACCGGCGGCAGAGATGTTGTTGAGCATGCCGTTTCCCGGGGAGCGTAACCCCGACACAGAGAACGCGGTACCGGAAACCCGCGTGTCACCGCGAATGTCACCCTCGATAGAATCGGTTTCCGGACCGTACACCACCTGGGGGATACTGCGATTTACCGTGGATTTAGGCGCGACAGTATACTCGAGACGCAACCGAGGAACGGCCTGTGTGCCTCGTCAAGGCAAACAGTGGACTGCCTGGCTGCCATATCCGAGCTCCCCCACCTTCCGCCGATCGGCGCGGGTGTAAACTATCTCTCTCTCTCTCTATCTCTCGCTTCAACGCGAACCACCCTCCGTCGCGTCTTCCTCGTCGGGAGCGTGGTTCGTGCCAGCCAGTTCTCGCTCCTGCCCCCAGCCTGTGGGCGTGATATTAAATCGGCTGCTACCGCTTCGGACTCGGCGGCGGGGCCAAGAACGTAGTCGCAGAGGAAGCCTGAAAACGACACGCGGACCACCGACTACGATCTCCTGGAGCATTGCTCGCCAGACGGGAGAAGCCTGGCGATGTCCGAACAATCGAAATTTCGGGGATAAGGGCTCTTTCGGACTATCGACTTTCCGTCGCGCGAGACACCGGACGCGGTGGAACACCAACGTTTTACAGCCCCGAGGACTACGAATATGTTTGCGTACTCCCACGAGTTACCCGGACAATTGTTTTCTAGTCATTCCGTGGGGGGAATAATTCTTTGGAAGACGAAGTAAATGCTGAAACAAAAGTCTCGTGGCTTGAGATACTCTATTCCCTTATGCTCGATTTCTGTGTTATTCAGATATTTTGTTTTGTTACTGTTCCGAGGCAGACAGGTGTATACACCCTGGGCACAACGGGGACTATGGTTTACATTTCCCCATAACGAAGTAAATGTACCTTAATCATGGAAAACGATAAAGTTGAGGTACCTGTTTTTGCCTTTTCGGCGAAAAGAATTGTCGCAGAACAGGAAGTCGATAGTCTGAAAGGGGGCTAGGATTATAAAATTTCGATCGAGCTAAAGTTCATGGAAGTCCGACGGAGATGATATACCAGAGTTATCGACTAATTTTTTATTTTTAATTATATACTCCAGGTGGGCTGATCTTTTCACGAGCAAGAAATTGTTGATAGATGTTCGATAGGGACGATAAAAAACATTGCTCCATAATCCAAGAGGGGTCAATTAGATGTTTCATGTAGGACCCATGTCTTTTGAGAAAAAAGGGGGTCCACGATGAAATATTCGTGCAAAAAGGCCTGAAAGATCACTAGAGATGGCTAGAAGCATTGCCCTATATTCGAGTAACGGTTGACCGGATTTGCGCGCCACCACATAGGCCTGCTTTTTCGATGAATGGACTATTATTACTATCGGGAATATTTTCATTATTGCTAATATGCTTCATTCAAAGTAATTCTTTCATCAATTTGTCCTATATAAATTGGTTCTTTGTATTAAACTAAATATTAAAATATGAATTTTAATTCTTTCGTTCCTCGATGAAATCGTGCAAAAGAAAGTCGATAGTCTGAAAGAGTTCTAATTGTAACGACTCACTCAGACTATCGATTTTCCGTCGCACAAAAGTTGATGGAAATTAATGATAGCGTTTTCCTGGGATTTTCAGTTTTTTAAGATTCAGAAATTTTTTACTCCTCGGGAATTTTTAAAACAAATTTTGTTATACTCAGCGAAGTACAAATTATATTTGTGCAATAAAAAGAACCATCTAAGTAGAAAGTCTTGTCAAGCTCTAATATTTCATTCATTAATATGTTTGCACGTGAATACTAAAAAAATTGGTTAGTAACCAGGCAAGGAGTCAAATAAAAAAACCTTTTGGATTATATACTGTTCACTATTTTTTGTGTATATGTACCTACGTTATTTTATTTTGCTTGACAAACTCTCTTTGCGTTTTTTATGTACACATATATAACAATTTTTTTACACAACTCCAATTAATTTACAAGTACATAAACGCACGTAAGAAATGTATGTGTTTACTAACATTTAAAAAATTAATGTGTCTCCTTACCACAATTCTTTCATGGTTTCACAATTATATTCTCGACAAATATGAGTAAGAATTGCTTAAACAATCTCGAAAATTCTCAAGTATGATCACTAATAAATGTCTGACAGAGATAGCAAAATGCATTGTCCTATAGACAAGGTGTCGTTGATTAGATATTCCATGTAGGTCCATTCCTTTTATATGAAATGGGGGTCCTCGACTAAACTCTCATGCTAGGTAAAGTCGATAGTCCGAAAGAGACCTAAGGGATCGCTCATAGTATCGAATTTCCGTCGTACGAAAATTGCTAGAAGCGATAAGGTCCATTATTCTATAATTGAGGATCTGTCAACTAGGTTTGCACGTTTCTATATAAGCCTAAATCTTTTCAATAATGCGGCAAACCTCGACTATAGTGAGACTAAACGTTAACGTGATACCGAGGCTTCGATCAGTTGCAGACTGTCGACTTTTCGTTGTACGAGAGTTGATGCATATCTGTTTGATTAAAGGGAGGATCTCGACTATACTGTCGTACAAAGGAAAGTGGACAGTCTGATGGGACCCCATGAGTTGATAGGAGTCTGATAGAAGCGGTGCAAAGTGGAGGTAGAATTCCTATTCGTTATTCGAAACAAATTTAGCTCAACATTGGTACTAGTATATCTGCATATTATGAAACCGTACATAGATTTTAACGCGGATATATTAATTACACGTGTACACATGTATTTTGGATACACGCGAAATGAAGGTATCTGGTAGAAAGCAATGATTTATAGTCGAAGAATGTTCACTAGGTATTCCAAGCAGGCCTATTCCTTTTGGTCAAATTGGGTGTTTTCGACTGAAAGACGCCTAAACCGCTTGAACGGAGGTTGAAGACCAGGATATTTAATCCTCAAAAGTCGAATGGTTTGTGATAGTCGCAACAGATGAACGCAAAGGTCATCTCGACCCATAGAATTTATACAGTCATCGAAGACAAAATACTTCCCTTACTACTGAAAATATGGCGTCAGTAGGTGGTTCAAAGTGACCCTCGCGAGGGTCAAGTATTACCAAATTGAAAGCCGATGGCTACAAAATTTCGATTACAACGTGGAGTTTCGTCGACGACCCGAGCACGCTAATCGTCTTATTCGTTTCTTGGAATCCTCCCCCTCTCGCCGGGACCGAGTTCATAAAACTTCTCCGGACGGGTTCGTGAAACAGGTCGATAAAATCGACGGACTTCCGGTAGCGATTCGCGAGGAAGCGCGAGTGACGGGACCGATAAGGACAGACATCGGCGGGGGCGAAGAGGGGGGGGGGGGGGGGGTGGAAAGGTAGGCTCGGCGAAGAAGAAGCAGTCGGTGGAAGAGCAGTTGGAAGAAGGAAGCGCGTGCACGCGAGTCGCCCGACGACGACGGGGGGGGTTGAAAAGAGAAAAAAGCAGGAGTGGGAAAAGCGGGTTGAAAGAAATCGAGAAGCGGTAGTGGAAGCGGAGTTCTGCACGGCGGACTACGGCGGTTGGTGGGGCTGTCCATATCCGAGGTAAACTCTATCCAGGTTACCGTAGTCTGGCTGTCTCTGTTTTGCGGTAGGCGGTAACCGCCGCGGACGCAGCTCCAATGAGCGAGTAGCCCGCCCTCTGGATGCCCCACTAGCTTACCCCTGCCGGAGATTTATTGAAATTTTATTTTTATGGCCGGTGAGCACGGCGTCCGGTGGATTCGTAGAGGAGGGGGGAGGCAGGGTGGCGCCGGGGCTAGACAGGGGCGAAGAAGAGAAGAGGATTCCTTCTCGTTTCCTCCAATCTTTTTTTCCACGTTTCCTCTGTCCTTGTTTCATCCCCTAGCAACCTCTTCCTCGGTCCAACGGGCTGCACGGTATACGCTCCCGCGTAGACCCGGCCGCTTTATTCGCTGCGTCCTTTTAATTCAATAGCTACCCCTTTTTATAAGGTGGCGGGCGTCGAGCGAAGACGGAAGTCGGCCGCTACGACGTCAGCTACCGACGATATGCAAGCGAACTGTTCGCTCGCTGGTATTGACGCGCTTGATATTCTCTCTGCCGCGACGACCAGTCGACGACAATACGGGGCATATAATGCGACCGTTCGACCGGGGATATTTATCGCGACGATTGGGGAATTATCATCGACTGGGCTGGAAACTGGGTGAAACCACGTCGCCACGATTTTCACGGAATCTTCGGGCATCGTCGACGACGATCTACGTGCACGAAAATTCAGAATCTCGAGTAGAAAAAGCAAGGACTTGGGTCATCCTGATCGGTACAGTAATAACGTTAAACTTGCGTTTCGAGTATTGCTCCACTGGCCCAGGAGGATAATTCATGCTTCTGCATTTTTGTATTTTTTCGGCAATATTTCTCTCTATTTTAAGAATCTTAATAAGTCTGGCAAATATTCCGAATTATCGACACAGTTTACGCCATTCTGAACTTTGCACTCGAGCCGTGATCTAGGATCACGTCATGGTTATTATACTCTCGACGAAGTAACGTCGTTTAATAATTTTTAAGGTTTCGCTAAAAATCTGGTAGTCTAGATTATTCTCCAAGGTGAGAGTAATAAGTAACAGGGGTATAGTGTTTTCGTTTACAGATTATAAATAACTATTACGCTGTTATATACTCGGTATACCTGTATATGGACGTTTATTCGGGCACACAGCTTCTGTGAGAAGTATATTAGCACATAATATAGTATAATATAGGTGCTTAGGGAGGAAATATGACAAAATAGATTTAATTGTATTTCGTTGAAAACATAAAATTTAATTATTTAAATAAACAAAGACTCATTGAATGAAATTTGAAGGAATCGTTACTGAATATTTCGATCAACACTTGGGCAAGTGTTTTATTTTTCTAGTAAATACAAATTTTATTACATTATATGCAAGAAAGACAATGTTTAACCAGCATACATATGTATTTTGAGAATGAACTTCACTCATAGTAACATTGTTTTATTTAATACCGAGATAACGTCTATCACCATAAACCAATTGTAAAGTCGAGAGGTGTTAGCACGATGGTTTGATGGAATCAAGCAACCATGAATCGGGCAGGAATAAGAAGAC